CCCCAGTGAGGGCCCAGGGGCGTGGTCAGGGTTATAGCACTTGCCTACAATTTGTAAGGCAGTAGGTTCAATTTCCAGGAGCATGCGGTGCACATATACACATACACACACAAACACACGATGTACCATGGAGCAAAAGTGACTGGCTTTCTCCCTAGGGCTGTGGATCTTTGGGGGTACCCTGTCCCCACTCACTGCAGGTCTTTGATATCAATGAGGAAAAGGACCAGGAAGTTGCTGCTGTTTCTCTCCAGAGGGCATCCGTGGGAGTTCCGGCTCTGGGGAGTGGACAGAAAGGACCTGGGTTACAGCTGCCCGTGGATCTAGCCTCGTTCCATGTGCTATCCATTCACCCGGGGCCTCTCCCTGCCCCATCTCTGGAAAAGAACCCAGGGCTGTAGGCTTTACCCGAAGAAGACAAGCCCTGAACACCATATCAGCTCTCTCACCCCCTCTGATGCGCTCCACTCACCGAGTAGGAGTGAATGCTGCCAGATCGAACCCGACTCAAGCTGAACCCCACCTGATGGAAAAGAGAAAACAGTGAGGGGCTTCCAAAGCACCCTCGGCAGCAGAAGGGATGCAACCTAGCTCTGTTCTGCTTCAAGACAGGGACTCGCAGGCAGCCCTGGCTGGTAGGGCACTCACCATGTTGCCCAGGTCGGGGTTGGACTCATGTCAATCCTACCGTCTCAGCATGTACCACCACCCGCGGCTCATCTCAGGTACTGAACACCCATCATGTGCTAGATGTTCAGTGACCTGTCCCACCCCTGACTCCCAATGCTCATACAGAACACTTCCTCTGAACAGACTTTTTTAGTCTGATTGGTTTTACCCACCTACAATGTTAATGGGCAGGGTGGAGCATGCCGTTTCATGGGCTATGAAGACTGAGGCAGGAGGGGCTTAAATTTTAGGGGAACCTGGACTACATGAGACCCTGTCTCAAAACAAACTGTCAAAACGAGGCTGCCTGGGCACCCCTTTTATCCGAGCACTTGGCAGGTGGACCTCTGTGAGTTTGAGGCCAGTCTGGTCTATGTAGTGAGTTCCAGGATAGCCAGGGCTACACAGAAAAACTCTGTCTTGAAAAACAAACAAACAAACAAACAAACAAACAAAAGAAAAGAAAAACAAAAACAAAAACAAATGAAAAAAAGGAATGGTTTTGGTGTCCACATGTATGCGCACACATGCACCTTACACAGAAACATGTTTACACACTCACGTGTGTGCGCGCGCGCATACACACACACACACCACAACTCCAGACACTGGAAGGAGGGTGAATTACAACTGAAGATTTATTGGAGGGCTGGGCTGTGGTCAGTTGGGGCAGCCATAAACCACCATGTTCTCTGTGAAGGACCCCAGATTCCTACACTGCTGCTGGTGTTCCTCATCCTGGCATTCATCAGCCTCGGGCCAGAGCTCCACCCACGTGT